GACTCGGGCCGTGTCAGGGTCCAGGGGAAAGCTAACCCCACGCTGAGCAGACGCCCACTTTTACTTTTCCGGCGTGGTGGCAACCCCCGGCCTCCCGCTGGCCGGCTGCTCGGGATCTGGCAAAAGGGAGTTTGCTCGAGGGACTGGGTGGGTTCTGGACCCGCTGTTGGGAGAAGCGATACGGAGGTCTCTCCCGGCCATTGATCAGGGGTTTGGGCGAAGGATCAGAAAGAACAGCCGGAGGGCAGAGACCGGGATGCGGGAAGGGTCAGTTGAGGTATGTCTTAGAGTCGCTGGAATATACACTCCAAAGATGTTATTTAACCTGCAGAATGGGTTAAGCAGGCTTGTAATTTATTTTTTCATATAGGGGACTTACTTGTTTTGACAGCAGCGAAAGGTTATCATACCTTAGGTATTCTTGAAGTACTCTGTGTACACATACACTCATACTTTCTTTAATAAGAATGCATGTCTACGTTCTTCATTTATTCATCAGACTTATCCCGGCTGGGCTAGGTGGCAAGTGGCATCAACAAAGCATAATAAGGTGTGGTCCTTGTAGGACCGGAATCTTTCCTGTGCCAGGGTTCCTTCAGGAAGGTAAAACTAGTCACAAGAGATGGAGGAGAGTCATTTTGTTTGCAGCCTCTTAACTTCAGACGTTGTAGTGGCATTGGGAGATGACAGTGATGCTTCTCAGAGGCTTCTGACTTATGGCCAGGTGAGAGAAGGGTTAGGAGAAGGTTGTGGCTGGTGTTTTTTTCTTAGGTTGAGCATGCTGTTCCTTTTTTTCAAAACTTTCTTTGAGTGTTGATGATGTTATATAGGTTACTAGGTTATGGAAAGAGGCCTTGGGCGGGAGTCATAAAAGAAATAGAGTGGGGAATTTGGGGATAATTTTCTTGAAAAAAAATTCCCTAATTTTTAGAATTCAGAATACTTAGCGTTTGTGCAGTTTCTCAAAAATAATTTTGTATTTGGAACTTTGTTAGTGTGAAGTAATTGACTTACTTTAATCCTGATTTTAGTAACTAGACTTCTATTCTCAGCTTTTCCTAACTCCCACCTTTGAATCTGTTCCTTCAGTGTTTCTGTCACTCATTTTTTGAAGTGAAATTATGGATATCGGTGATGAAGGCTGCATGTTTCATTGACACTGCTATTTGTGCTGGCTAACTTTTCTAATATATTTTACATAAATGTAACTTAGAAGGCTTTGATAATATTTTCTGGTTTTAAAAGAAATATTTTCATTCAAGAAAATTTGATAAAAAGTTTTCCAATAATAAGCAACATTAGCATTTTTCCTCTTTTCATTATGTCTTTTTCTGTCTTAATCAAAATATGATCATACTGCACATAGTCTTTTATTTTGGATTTAGAAAACTCACATGTTTTCATATCCTTAAATATGTTTGATGACTTTGCAGAATTTCATAGGATGCATGCAACAAATGTTGAATCTAATTTTAGCTTTTATAACTGATTTTATGAGGAGCAACTTTGTTATTAAGATTTAGTCTGCCTCTTTGTTTCTTCAGCATTAATTCCTAAAGGAATGATTATATTAGCTTTCTAAGGCTTTAGGTATCAGTTTCTCCACTTCATGGAGCTTTCCATCAGCTTGGAAACTAAATTATTACAATTAAAAATAAAACTTTTTCTCATATTGTTGCATAAACATGGCATCTTGTTTATGTTTTCCTTTGATTGTAACGATGTTTTTCATTTTGTTCTTTGGGTTTGTCTTTGTCCCTAAGTTCTGATGAATCTTTTGACTTCTTTTTGTTTGTATTTTTGAGATGAGATCTTGCTGTGTAGTCTAGGCTGACCTTGAACTCACTATGTAGTCTTGGCTGGCCTTGAATTCACTGGATCCTCTCAATGGCATGCACCACCACACCTGGCTTTCTTTTTGCATTCTTTGAATTTGGTTATTTCAAGTAAATCATATACAGTACATCTGAAAATCCACATTGTTATGCTTCATATTGAATTGAAGTTGAGATCTAAATTTAAGAAATAATCAGGTTTTTTTTTGCTTTGTTAGAATTCAGCAAATATCTAATTATAATTAGAAAAAATATTCAAAATTGTAAAGTTTTTAATCACCTTTTACTCAAATTATTTGTTGCACTGCATGAAACTGAAGATTTTGATTTACTAACTTGTATATTGGGAAATACATTTATGTTTCCTTGATATGGTAAAAACTTCCATGTTACCATTGTGATGAGGTAAAGGTTGTTGAGTCTTCCTAGGCAGCGCTAACAGGAATAATCTTGTGAGAAATAAAATGGTGAAGACAGAGACATTACTTTAGGGATATGGATTCTTAGTGGAGTTTAAAATGTTCCTGTATATTGTTCATATATAGGGAGAAAATAGTTATTAAATTTATAGCGAATATAGTTTTTTTAAAATAGCATTTGAATATATTTTAGTATACAAGTTTGAATGATGAATAGGATTAATTACCAGCTTTTAAAAACTTGCTCTCATTTGAGGAGAAATTATAATGAATCTGAACTCTTCAAGCATTTATTTTTAGTAGAGTTTAAAAACTATTAATAAAAATTACCAGCATATCTGATAAAGCAAAGGATTAAACTTTTTTAATCACTTTGAAATTTTTAATTATAAACCTTTTCAAAGTATCTTCATGAGAAGAAAATGTCTGACAACAAATTTTATTCTATCCTTTTTTAGTGCAATTTTATTTAGTCTGCTTTTAGAGTCGTAGTTGGGGTTCTATTTTTTTCTGTTTTATTTATTTATTTATTTTAACCGGGGATCAAAATTGTACCTTACTTGTGAGGCAGGTGATGGGACCAATGATCTAAATCCCAGGCCCTAGTTCTGTTTATTTCTTTGTCTTTACTTTGAGTGTATATGCCTTGTATTTCTATAAGGTTAGATGTGACTTAAAAAAAAAAGGTCCACATTTAAAGTTCATGTAAGTATTTTTTAAATGAAGCCAATGTGAACATTATAAACTAATGCTAACTTAAAATTATGTACTATCTTGATTTATAAGTATAATTTGACAAGTGTATTGCCTACTTATGATTTTATTATAATGAGACAATTGAAATTATCACAGTTCAGAGGCTCAGTTTTTTTTGGGGGGGTTGTTTTCTTTTTTGGTCCTAGAGATTGAACCCAGGGCTTTTGCACCAAGCTACATCCCCAGCTTTTATTTTTTTACTTGAGTCAAGGTCTAGCTAAGTCACTAAATTGTCTAGGCTAGGCTGGAGTTTGTAGTCCTCCTGCCTCAGCTTCCCAGAGTGATGGCATTATGGCCTGTGCCACCACAAGAGGCTGCAAACTAAATGTAAATTGGGCTGTGTATGATATGAGACAAAGAATGTTATAATGCTAGTGGAGCTTAGTGAGATGTTTTCAACTTCAGATGGTGACTTATTGTTAGTTATTGTGAACACTTTACTGGGTTGCAATCAGCACTCCCCAAAAAGAAATAAAATAGGATAAAACAAATTAGAGTGTATTGTGTATATTAAGAATGGCTCAGGGCCGGGGTTTTTAGCTCAGCAGCATAGCACCTGCCTAGCAAGCACAAGGTCCTGAGTTTGATCCCCTGTACCAAAATAAAATAAAATAAAATAAAATAAGATAAAAGACTAGCTCAGGTGATGGACCTTTGGGTTACTGTTTGTAGGAGTATATACTGGGATATAAGATGTATTATGTGGAGTTTCTGGAATCAGCCACTTAAAGCCATCATTTTACATAGCTTATTCGAATTTTAGTTTTCTCATCTGTAAAATGAGATTGGTAGCAACTTCGTAAGTTATGAGGATAAAAGATAATATATATTGTGTTTAAAATGGAGCCTTTTTATCTTTACCATTACAGAAATAAAAGGGTCTTTGAGATAATGATTTAAAAACATGTTGGTTAATAGCATTTATTTTATTGTGAAAGAATTGTTGTATCTGCATATTAGTATGATGAAGACTAAATTGCTTTCATTTGTATACTTACAAGTAAAATAATAAATGAAATTGTGAATAGTCATAACCTTTTCCCATTTCCCCTCCACATAACAGTTTATATTTTTAAGTACATGAATGTTTTTCAGACATAAACATAATATTATTATTAGCATCAATAAAGTTAACAATAGTTTTTTTACTGTGGTCAACTACCCAGACCATGCAGTTTTCCACTCTCTTAAAAATTGTCTTAGAACGTATCCTCCAAATTTGGTTTGTTTGAGTTAGTATTTAAAGTCAACACATTATATTCAGTCTTAAGACTCTTCACCTGTACTAGTATCTACTCTTTTAAAATTTTTTTCATTCATTTAAAACTTAGAAATAGTAGAGATCCCATTGAACATCTTGTATCATAGTACACTTATCAAATTAAGAAATTAATATAAATAAATAAATAAATAAATTATTAATAAATATTAATATAAAATTAACTGCACTACAGATTTTACTAGAATTTCAGAAGTTTCCCAGTCAGGTCCTTTTTCTATTTTGGGATCCAATCCAGGATATCTCATTGCACTTAGTTGTTATGTTTCTTTATAGAGTCCCCAAAATTATAGTTCTTCAGTCTTTCCTTTTATCTAATGGCCTTGAGACTTTTAAGAGGACTGGCCGTGTGTGTTGTGGGATTTTGCTTAAAGTGGGTTTTTCAGATGTTTTCTCATGATTAGATTGAAGTTAGAGATTTTTGGCAAGAATAGTACAAAAGTGTTGTGCCCTTCTCAATGGTTCATTGATCAAGTGCTACATGATACTGCTGTGAATGATTTTTAGAGATATTACCATTTGCCAATTGATTAACCTGATGGTTTCTTTACTGTAACTTTACTATTTTTTCCATTGTATTATCAATATTTTTAGAAACTATTTTGGTACTAGGAAATGGTTTCACCTCAGACTTTAGCCCATTGATCTTAGCAACAGTGTTTAAAGTCTACACTGGGATTGTCTAGGTTACTTCTTTGTAAATAATTTATTAAAAAACAAACTTCAAACTGACTTGATTGAGAAATGACCATTAGTAGTATTTTAAAACAAGTTCAAAACACTAGGTGCAATGTGTGTAACATGGCATCACATTGACTTTTAACCTTTTGGATCATGTTTCTGTGAATTTATCTGTTAAAAAATATTAATACAAATCTAAATAGTGTAATGAGTAAAATTAAGTTCTTAATGTTGCTTCATAAAAGCTTCTAAAGTAATTTCTTATATTGGCAAGAAGCAAGTACTATGTATATTTAAGCTTTTAAAATTCTTTTAGCATATATATCTTTAATATCCACATATACTTAAAATACCCAGAACTGTCTGTAAACATGTGATAAAACATTATGTCTAAATTATCTCTTTGGAAATAAAGAAATATCAGTGTTTAAACTACAGAGAACAGTACAACTTCAATTTTTTCCCTTACATTCAAAAGGTAAGCTCTTCTTTGACGAAATAAAAGCAGTAAGGAGTAGAAGTTTTGCACTACCTCTGGTATTCTGCAGTATTCTTACCCTTTCCCTCTTAACTCACATTTCATGTAGAGTTAAGAAAACTAATCTTAACTTTTACATCTTGGAAAAAGTGGAAATAAATTAATTCTTTTTTTTTTTTTTGAAACTCAGATAATGAAACTGCTGTTTATACATTGATGCCAATGGTTATGGCTGATCAACACAGGTGAGTGTCTGTTTAATAAATTTATGCTTTTTAAAAAGTGTGAAGTTTTCTAAATATAATATGTACACACACATAGGCCCATAGTAGATTGGGCATAGATGTCCTGGGGAAAGTTTTTTTCTATTAGATTTTGAGACATTTTAAAAATGAATATAATCATAAGTTAAAATCAAGTGCTTTGTTGCTGACTGACATAAAAAAAAACATTTGGTTTCTTTTAGAGATCACTACTGATCTCTAGAGCAAAAGGTTAGAGCTAAAGGGCGATCTATTTCCCTTACATGTGCTCATCCTTTGATGTTTTTAAAATTAATATAGGGTTTATTTTTTTTTTCTTGTAACAGATTTGAACCCAGGGCCTTGACACTGAACTATGTCCATAACCTTTTTTTGTTTTTTATTTTGAGACAGAGTCTTGCTTAGTTGTTAAGTTGCCCAAGCTAGGTTTGAAGTCACAGTCCTCCTGCCTCAGCCTCCCAGAATGCTAGGATTATAGGCCTATGCCACCATGTAGGGCAATGTGGGTACTCTTGTAGAGGAATGTATGCAGTATAGTTATCTGTCTGTGTAAAGGGGTCTTTATTATTTGTAACAGCCAAATTTTTGGCAAGGGGAGCAGCCAGATCTATTCTTTTTGTTTCTCAATAATCTAGTAAAACACTGGCTGTCTGAGAACAATGAAAAGAAACTGAGCCTTGTAGTTTAATGTACTGAGCAGACCAGTATATGAAAAACACAACAGAGAAGTTAGTTTAGTTTTTAGTATTGTAAGCTGGTTCAGAGAAACTTTGTAGTTCTTGCCAACTTGATTGATCTCTATGATGGAAAATCCTAACTTTTTTGATTCCAGCACTAGCATCATTACACTTTTTGTTTTATCAATGTAGCTTATAATTTTAAGCTCATTTGCTTGTCCTGCAGAAAACAAAAATATGGGCATCTATACATTTAGACTTTATGTTTTTTCTATTAGAGTCTTTTTTTTAGTTGTTGCTATTAATTTTGAAATTATAACAAAAATAAATTTGAAATGATAACAAAACTTAAAAAAAGAAATCTAGTGAGAACTGAAGCCAACTTACTCTGTTAGGTGTCCTCCGAGCAGATAACATAGCGCTCACTGTCTGCGTGGGAGTTGAAGTCTTTAGCGCTAATTTATTCGTCAAGGCTGTTGGTTTTGGGATATTATTTTGCTACTGTGCTGCACTTAGAAAATAGTGCCTTGCTTTGATTGATAAGGGACTTTTGAATAACTAGTAAGAAAAACTAAAGAGCTGTTAACTTGATTTATTATGTTTTAAAAACCTTCTTATGTATTGAATCCTCTTTTAATCTGTTTGGGGGCACAGGTCTGTTTCTGAACTACTATCAAATTCAAAATTTGATGTCAATTATGCATTTGGACGTGTGAAAAGAAGCTTGCTTCACATTGCAGCAAAGTAAGATTAAAGATGTTTTAGTTTAAATTCTTGTCTAGAGTAAGCACCCTAAACTTTGAATCAGCATTGTCTTACAGTAGTTATAGGGAGGTACGAAAACAAGCAGCCAAGTATATCTTTTCTCTTTTTTTCCTTTTTTTTTTTGAGGTACTGGAGATTGAACCCAGGGTTTTTATGTTGAGGTACATCCTCAGTCCTTTTATAATTTTTTGAGACAGGGTTTTGTTAAGTCACTGAGTTGCCCAGGCAAGGTTCTAATTTGGGCTCCTGATCCCTCAGCCTCTAGAGTGCTGGGTTTTCAGGTGTGTGTGACCATGCCTGGCTCAACCAATTATTTCTTTATCCTGTTTAGGGCATAGTGTGTTGTGTATTTTCTTTCTTTCATTCATTCATTCATTCATTCATTCATTTATTTATTTTGGTACCAGGCATCAAACTCGGGTCCTTGCGCTGGTGAAGCAGGTGGTGTAACCACTGAACTAAATCCCCAGCCCTGTATTTTCTATCTAGATAAATTATTAACTTTAAGATTGAATCATGTGCCTGATAGCTTATTCTAGTTTAGGCCTGGGGATTGTTTTTGCTTGATGTAACTAACATGCATTTACCAAATCTTCCATTTATCCCACTGAGATAAGGGATAAATGGGATATGCTAATTGAATGTGACATCATTGGCTTTTCCTAGATGGGTGTATGATTTTATCCATAGTCTTCTGCTGTGGTTTTGGACAATTAACTAATTGATATTTATATCTTTTCTCTGGATTTGGGTAGGTATGTTGAAATTAATTGTTCATGATTAATGTGTTTCCTGGAAAACCAAAAAGTTGAGAGTATCTTGTTTCTTTCATAAATGAATCTCTTTTTTGTTTTATGTGAAATTCTCAATTACCTTACAGCTTACTGTGCGTCTTGAAAATAGAGGATATTTAGTATTTGTTAAGTAAAATTATAGGTAAATCAGCACCTTAAAAATAATGAGCTTAATAGAATGTTTTTTTTTTTAATTAAGCTATCTCAAATGTGGCTGTCACATGTATCTGACCTGTCTTTTAATGTTTTAGCTGTGGATCGGTGGAATGCTTGGTTCTGCTGTTAAAGAAAGGAGCAAATCCTAACTATCAAGATATTTCAGGCTGTACACCCCTTCATTTGGCAGCTAGAAATGGGTAAATATTTAGTTTCCTTAAGTAGCTAAAGTTGTATTCAAAGTACCCTGTCTTGATCTGATGATTCTTTTTCTCCAATATTTATTTGCTTGGGAAAATTTTTAAAAATGATATATTTTATTTTTTATAATTTTTTTTCTCTGAGGCCTGTTTTTTCTGTTTAAAGAGAGTCTTGGATCATTATATTAAAATTATAACATAACTTTTCTTTTTTAATATTTAATTTATTTAAAAAATTAGTATATATCTGTAGTACATTGGGGACCTGTGTCTGTCTGTACCTTACCTTCTTTTGTAGCTATCTTTTAGTCATTGTGGAGAGGGTAGCACTGGAAACCCTGAAGTGAAATTGTTCTGTGGCTCAGTCTTAAATAATTAATCTCTTCCTGAAACAAGTTGAGTAAACACTTTCAAATATGGTGGGATTTCTTCTCCAGCATTAGCCGGCTGTGTGGAAGGAGTCACTTTTAAAATTCCGTACTGTTTTTCCAGTTTGCAATAGTTGTTGGTTTCTCTCGGGTCTAGCACTGCTGTCCTGGTCCATTGTTTCTTTCTGGAGCTGCTGACTCTTTGAGCTTACCTGCTCTCCTTGGGCCTTGTCGTTGTCCATGACTAGATTAGTTAGTAAATCAGTTGGTGTCTCTGCTGCCCAATGTGGAGAGGAAACAAAATGCAGAGTGCACTTGGAGTTGGCTAGCAGTAAATATATCTTTGGTGGGTTTTAGGGTCTTGAGTCTTAGCTGCTGGCTTCGAAGCTGAGGTTTCCTGTGGGCATGGGCTGCTCACTGTTGTCTCATTGCCATATTTTTTCACTGTTATACCTAATAATTTATTAAGTTGTTCACTTATATTTTTCTTGCTAAAAATGTAGTTTTTCTGAAGATTATTATTTTCATCTCATTTTGGTGTCTTTTTTCTGGTAATTTTTTGCCACTCCTAATTTCATGGCTTATTTTCCAAGTTGCTTAGTGCAACTATAGACAAATGAATATGTACTCATTAATAGATTTTTTTATTAGTGTATATTTGCAGTGTATAATAATTACATTCATTTTGGGGAATTTGTAACTATACATATTGCATCTTAATCATTTTTACTTCTCTTTCTTGCCCTTCCATCTCTTCCCATCCCCATATCCTACAAAGTCCACCTCCTTGTTTCCTATAATTTATTACAGTTGTTTGAGAGTGAATTGTCCCCGAGTAGGATTTCTAGTTAGCTTTAATTGTTACAACTGTTTGTGAAGTTTTCTAACTCATGTGCTTAAAATACTTTAAAAATGTAAGTGCGATTTTAAAGTAGTGAAAAACTTAAAAAATATGGCATATTGGGTATACTTATGCCTCATTGATAATACTGATTATCACCATGAACATTATTATTTCATGGCATATTATTTTATGCCCTATCATGATTTTTATAGTTATTCAGTCTCCTGTGAAGTATTTCAGGTGTCATATCTCTGTGTCTGCCTATGTAACTGTTTTTGTTTCTTATAATTCTCAACTGAGAAATAATTCCAAAATAATAGGAATTAAATTTAAAATAAAAATAAGTAGCATTTGATTCAAGCCTTAAGGAATTTATATTTATGAACCGTTTTGAACGTTATAAAACTTCTGTTAATGTACATTCTTATTGTGGCTCTTGTTTTGATTAATCTTGAAGATATTGTTTCCTGTTCTGAACTAGGATCCTGAAAAGTTAAGGTGGCTACATTCGTGAGATGCATGTGGAGCTAAATTGATTGCATCAGTCTGAGGTCAGATATTTGCATTTGCATGTAGCATAAGGATAAAAATCAAACCAAAAAGATAAGCACAATGCTGTCGAGGTTGGATGGAGAAAGGCATTATCTTTCCACCCTAATTGATCTGCCCCATTTCATGAATTGACATATAAGCCAGTTTAATTGTCCATTGTTTTAATAGGATCAAAGTGTTGATTGAAAAGCTATTTTTATAATTTTACATCAGGTATGTTGTATATGTTGCACTTCATAGAGTAAATTATTCATTCTCTTGCCGAATCAATCTCAGAGTCAGATACCTTATGCCAAGTGTTAATGGGTTAGGGACAAAAGTCTGAAAAGATTACATGTAATAAAATATTCAGTACTCTGTCAGCAACTATAAATGAAAGGACACAATTGGTATATTTGATAAAGAAATGCACTGTAATTGTGTAGGAGATTATAAGACTGTGTGAGGACCAGAACATAGGATTTAGACTTGAAAGGCGGAATATTTTTGGTCTGCTAAAAAGATTTGTGTTGTTTTTCTGAAATAAAGCCTTTTTTATTAGCACATATGAAATAGTTTTGGGCTGGTGTATAGCTCAGTGCTGAAGTAGTTGGCCTAGAAAATAATTTTGATCACTGGTTTTATCAACAGCAACTGAAAAGACCATTGCATTTCTGAGATGAAGAAATAAGACAGATTATATGATTTGCTCAGCAAATGAGCAGAAAGAAAAGACATATGTGTGTGAGCCATTCTTTAATTTGGATACCTTTTTACTTTTTTTGGTACTGGGGATCAAACTCAAGACCTTGCGCTTAGAAGGCGAGCAACAGAACCTCTGAGCTAAATTCATGGCTCACCTTTTTATTTTTATAAAGATTATTTTTAATGTTCAATATGAGAATATTTTGGTTTATATTATGTATTGACTTAGTGCCTTGTATGAAGAGGTATTGGATGAATGTTTGCTAAATGACTCAAATACTTGTTACTTTGTGTAGCTACTGCTGTTTTCAGAAATAGTTTTTTATTATTAGGTTAGATTTGTCCATCCTGCAGTAGAATTCTTAGGAGAATTATCCTTTTTGTAGTCCTTCAGTTTTTCTTCTCTTCCCTTAGCTGTCATTGTTAGATAGGTAATAGATTTCTGTTGGCCTGCTTTAGAATTTCTGTTGTCATCATTAGTGCAGTTTGTGTTGTTTTGCCTTCCTTTCTAAATGTGAAGGACTAAAAGCAACAAAATTTGTTGGGTAATAATGTATGTTTCTTTCCTGTATTACTTGTACCTTTTCCACTTCATTTATGGAAGGAGGAGCATTTCTGGTTGTTGTTTTGCTTCAACAGCCTATACCCAAAATACTTTCTTGGATGTATTTTCCTGGCCATTCACTCAACTTTTTACTTTGGAAGTAGGCCAGTGGTCCATGTCAGGATCAGAATAGGTACAAGCACAGGCTTGTTTGTGTACAGGAACAAACACATTTTAAGCAATGCTCCATTTTAAGGACTATTTGGACTGTTGTCTCATAATTACTGAGAATTTGTTTTCTGAGGTTTTGATAATGTGTTAAATTAAGAAATTTGTTAGTGTTTGAACTACACAGTTTATTCAGAAGTTTGGTTTCTCCTATTTTTAAATTATGCTGATTTTAAGTGATATCTAACTTTCAGATATAAAAAAGCCAGAAGGTTATTTTTTCTCTTAAAAGGTTTTTTTAATCGATAAGAATTTTAGCTATTGATGTATTAATGAATAGTAATTACAGACATTCCTCATTTAATGACCAAGTTCTGGTCCTGTGAATAGGTTGTTAACTGAATTGGTTGCTGAATGAGGAATTGTATACAGTATGTGCATTGCAATAGTCAGAACAATGAAATAGTCAAAGGAAACTCCAACTGGCTGACTTTGCTTCTATTTGCATAACTCATACAGTACTGTAATGTATAGCAGGACATAAAACTACAGTACTGTACTGTATAGTACAATCAGCAAAAATTATAGTACTGTATAAACAAGAGGTACTATACCAAAAAAAAAAAAAAAAAAAAAAAAAAAAAAAAGAAACTGAGGCTCTCTAAACAAGATGTACAGATGTACAGAACTGTACAGAAAAACAGATGGGTCACAAGTCCAAACAGTACACCTTGATCGTAAGACTGAATGGCTGTGAACAAGTAGGTTATTAAATGAGAGATAGCCATAATAATAAAGTTTCATTGAGAGTTATTATGTATCTGACTACTTAATAGTGAGGTAAGGAATGTGATCATAGTCCATGGCATGAAGAAGTTTATGAACTTGTTGAGTAAATAGTAGTATATACATGTACACTGTGTCTTTCTCTGTGGGGCACTGTATTATACTGATAGTATATGAAGTATGTACATTAATATATTCTATATGTTGCCATTTACTCAGTTTATCATACACAGTTTTATTCAGTGGATTATGTAGTTTCTCAGTTCAGTATAGAGGATAGTTAAGATTGTCATGAATGATACCAATAAACAATGAGTCTTCAGAGTTTAAAGTTCCATGTAGTTCTCAGAAGTTTATACAGGCTTCATTAATGAAAGGGAATTTAAAATGAGTATTGAATAATAACTAGGAATGGATCAGGCTAAGAGGAAACTTAGCAAAATGAAGTGGGTAGGTGTTATGGTTTGTGTCTAGGTATCTTCCCCAAAGCCTCATGTGGTCATAGGTGGGGATTTTCAGAGGTGGCTGGATCTAGAGTGTGTGATGGCTGGGATTGATCCATGGTGCAGTGCTAGAATAAAGGGTGCTGGGATTAAGGGTGTGTGATTATTAAAATAGTCTACTGATTGATTTGGCACTCTTCCTAAGCTCGGTAGCCTAGATAGAAATAAAAGGAGCAGAAACAAGCTGCTATTGTCTCTTGTAGTTAGGTGCTCTGCCTTCTGTGTTCTGCCTGCTATGAACTCTATTTCTACTCTGCGATGCCCCTGTGCCATGCCACCCTGCCTTAGAGCCAACTGATTATGGACTCAAAGTCTATAAACTGTGAGCTAGATAAACCTTTCCTCCCTTAATTTGTGAGTGTTGGGTATTTTGTCTCAGCAATGAGAAAAGTAACTAAGATAGTAGGCAACTAAAAAATGGGCAAAAGACATGAATAGACATTTCTTCAGATATATATATATATATATATAGATATAGATAACTAATAAACCCATGAAAAGATGCTCAGCATCTCTAAATAAGAGAATAAACTCAAAACTGCAATGAGACATTAATGCATACCCATTAAAATGACTACTGTAAAGCAACAAAAAAAAACAAATACTGATTAAGATATGGAGAAATTGGAACCCTTGTGCACTTGGTGGAAATGTAAAATGATAGAACTTCATCTATGGAGAACAATATGATAGTTCCTTAAAAAATTAAAAGTAGAATTATTCTATGAGCCAGCAATTCCCTTTCTGGATGTATACCCCCCAAAATTGACATAGTTAAACACCTATGTTCATATCAGCATTATTTGCAATAGCTAAAATGTGGAAGCAGCCCAAGTCTGTATTAACTGATGAATGGATAAGCAAAATGTAGTATATGATAAATGGATTATTATTTTGTTTTTAATCTTTTTTTTTTTTTTTTTTTTTTTTTTTTTTTTTTTTTTTTTTTTTTTTTTTAGTGCTGGGGATTGAACTCAGGTCCTTACACTTGTGAGGCAGGCTGCGGCACCACTGAACTAAATCCCTGGCTATCATGGATTATTATTCAGCTTTAAAAAGAAAGGAAATTTTGACATATGCTGTAACATGGATGAACCTTGAGGACTTTATATTAAGTAAAATACCATAAAACTATACTCTTAAAAATGGTTAAGCCGGGGATTTGGCTCAGTGGTTCCGCTAACTGCCTCACAAACACAAGTGCTGAGTTCGATTCCCGGTACAAAACAAACAAACAAACTAACAAACAAACAAACAAAACGTTAAGGTGTAAGTTTTTTTTTTTTGGTACCGGGGTTCCAACTCAGGTCCTTGCACTTGCAAGGCAGGTGGCGGAACCACTGAGTTAAATCCCCGGCCCAGGTGTAAGTTTTATGTATATTATACCACAGTAAAAATAATTGAAAAAAATGAAGTGGGCTAGGAAGATTTACAGACATTCATTTTACTGATTATGTGATTATGTTTTTATAGTTAATCTTATATTATTATAAATGTTTTACAACAAGGCAGTAGGATATAACATTGAGGCATTTTGTTGTGTGGATGACATCCTTATCCATTATACTTGTACTTTCTTATATTTATGATATTTTCCCTTTACTTTGTTAACACTCAAAATTTCCCTGCATTTTGATTGATGAATTTGTCTTAATGACAAGAAATCCTGATTGTGCCATTTCTTTAATCTGTTACCTTTGCATCAGAAATAACGTAACTATATTTTAAATAGTGTACAATTAAATGTTACAGATAAAGTTTGAAATTGCAGATACAGATTTTTTTTTTTTTTTTTAAGATTTTGTTTTCTTCTGATTTTTGAGACAGGTTCTCACTGTGCGATCCAGTCTGGCCTTGAATTTACTATGTAACCCAGGCTGGCCTTAGATTAACAGTGATTGATTCTTCTGCCTCAGCCTCCTGAGTGCTGGATTACAGGCATGTTCCACTATGACTAGCCCACAGAAATAGATAATATATTGTCAGCTAATGTTTATTGTAGTTAATATTAGAGTAAAACGATTGTCATTTTTGTATTCTTTAGTACTAGTTTTTTCTTTTTCATTTCAGACAGAAGAAATGCATGAGTAAATTATTAGAATACGGTGCTGATGTCAACATTTGTAATAATGAAGGCCTTACAGCAGTAAGTGGTCAGATTTTTTAAATACTCTCTAGAAAATAATCTTAAATGTGATGATAATGCAAAGTGTAGTACAAGTTTTCTGCAAGTTACTTTATAATTAAGATGGTGCAGAATGATTTGAGGTATAGTTTTCAGTTATATTTATAAGAAAAGTTGTAGTTCACTATATTTCCCCCTTCTCTTTCGTTTATTTTGAAGTTTTATTCCCTTGACTCCTGTCACTGACTTTTAGTGGACTTCTTAGGAACATCTCTGTCAAAATATGTATCAATTCATTGTAGGAGAGTTACTTTGCATTGTGATGTGTGAGTGCTTTTGGTATGTTTGCGTGGCTAGGCAATAAGGAAAAAAGTAGCACAGGGACCAAACATTCTCTGTATTCCCCGAACTCAGAGATGACCATTGTTAACATTATGGCTGTATTCTTTCAGACTTGTTATGTGTTAAAAGCTGGAATTTTTATCCTTTTCCCCCTTAGTTTTATTACAGACTAAGTTAATATAGTTTTGATCAACATAAATATTGTGGGGAGGTGGTATGGGATTTTGGTGAAGGGATTGTTGAACTCTCAAAATTTTAACTAAATCATCATTATTTAATTGAGCATTATTCACCCTAGAAGTAGAGATAAAATAGAATTATGCAGGAGACTGCAAAACTGATTATGCCCAAAGCAGGCTGTAAGCAGTATAGGCTATGAAGAGTTAATCCCACAAGTGATCTGTTTTGAGAAATGAGTCTGGTTGGCTGAAGCCTACATGCCAAGGTCAGAGTAATACTCCGTTCCCACAACTAAAACCTTTCACTAGAAGGACAGTATTTGAATTACAACTATATATTTTTGTCTATTCTGTTGCTAATTCCAGAATGCTTTGTCTTTTTCTTTACAAGCCTTATCTCTATTAATTTCCATATTAACTGCATGACTGCACATTTTCTCATGTAATCCTGCTCTTGCAGGACTAGCTTGCCTTTACCCCAATTGATTACCAATAAAAATCAGTGGCTTGGACTGGCCAGTGCCTTTGTCAGTTGCACTGGCATTGGTTGTCCTGGCCTTCATTTTCTGTCTCTCTTAGTTCTGTCTTAGTTTTTTTCCTTAGGCCTGCATCATACACGGTGTAGGAGACTGGATCCTACTGCAGAGGTTTTCAGTAATGTTTCAGGGGTCCCTAGAATAATTATCATAATCATCATCATTCCTTTTTGAGTACCAGGTGTTAAACCCAGGGCTTTGTGCATGCTAGGCTGTTCTCAAACTCACAATCTTCCTGCATCAACCTCCTGAGTACCTGGAGTTAAGTATAGGGATGTACCTCCATGTGTGGCTTGAGCAGTTATTTTGAAATTGCAGTAGATGTTATTTTTTTTGTTAAATTTAACCTTTCTTTGGCAGTACTTGAAGATTTTGAATTGTAATTTGTGAGTAAAAAAGAGCATTGAATATTTACTTACCAAGCTTGGTCTCAAGCCCTTTTGATTAAAAATTTTGGGGAGGAGGCATAAGAAGAAATTTCTCTGAAGTTTGAGTTTTTCTGAGTGGATTATTATAGAATAAGCCCAATCATGATTTTATTTTATGAAATCTACAGTTCCCATGAAAATTCATATTTTATTATATACTAAAAATATAATACCAATACTCTGTAAGGAAAGGTATTCTGAATACCTACTGATTGCTTAGTGATGTGGTAGATGATATAGGGGATTATATAAACCCCTAGAAATGACAGATCTTTCCTTTGGACGTTACCCTGTTTAAGCAAGATAAAATATTCACTGTTAACCTGTTTAATTACAGAAGTTTCTATCTGCTGTTATTTCCCCTTTCATTCCTGAGCTGTAAGGAAAATGGAGCTGCTTTTAAATAAAATTTTTGTTTAATAAAATAATTCATATATATATTTAGAGTCACTTCATTTTACAAGACTTGCTATAGGAAATAGTCTCTTGGCCTTCCTCCTTAAACTTTCCCTTTCTTAGGTAATTCCTCTCAGATATTTTAATGGATTTGAAAAGTTTATATTTTTAATCTAAACATGCAAATGCTACCATCTGATTTTACTCATCATCTATTACCATTCTGGAAAATGAAGTTGTTCTCTTTTCAGCCTCTTTCCCCATTCATCATGTATAAGCCAGCACATTTCCCTCATGTCCTTTTACTATAGTCATTATAATTTTAGTTAGGTCAATTTTCAGTGCTCTTTTTTTTTAACTAAAGAAAAACTATTCATAGTTATGCCAAATAGTCTTCTATAGTTATTTTTCTTTTTTGCCTAGCATTTTATCTGGGGTAAATAATTGTCTGCTTTAAAAAAAAATTGAGAGAATTTGGAGATTCACATACAATCTTAAGAAATAATACCCAGAAATCCCCTATACCTTTTGTTCATTTCCCATATTGGTAACATTTGCAAATGCTAGAACATAATATCACAGCCAGGATATAAATACAGTTCATCTTGTTGAAATGATATGTGTGTTTTTATTAAGTTCTGTACAGTTTTATTGTTATGTACATGTATTTACCACTATAATATTCTAAACTTTCCAACACCACAAAGATCTCTTGTATTGTCTTTTATTATCATACCTTTCTCTTTCACACTCCATGCCTAACCCCTGATAATCACTAAATCTGTTCTACATTTCTAAAATTTTATTATTGAAGAATGTTGTATGAATAGAATTATCTATATGGAATCTTTTGGTGTTGGCTTATTTGTCTCATCACGTTCCCTGGAGATTTATCTAGGTTGTTGCATGTCGAGTTTAAGTTTGTTCCTTTATAGTGCTGAGTAAGATTACATGGAGTGGATGTACTGTTGTTTCTTTTAACGGTTAACTGACTGTTGAAGGACATCTGAGTCATTTTGGGTTTTGGACTATTAGGAGTAAAGCTGCTCTAAACATCAACATTAGTGTGTGACTTTTTGTGTGAATGAATATAAGTTTACATTTCTTTGGGGTAAATGTTTAACCATTTGGTTGCTGGGTTGTGTGATATGTAATTTCATGTTTAGTTTTAAAATATTCTTGCCTGTTGCCTGTTTAATGGTTGTGCCATTGTGCAGTACATGCCCACTAGTGATATAAGTGACACAGTTTTTCAGCTTCATTGACAACTCTCAGTGGTGTCACTTATTTTAGCCATTATAATGGTTATGTGATGAATCATTTTGCTTTAATTACTGTTTGCTTAGCTGCCAGTAGTGTTGAACATTTTTTCCCATAGGATTATGTCCTTTGTATACCTTCTTACATGACGTAAAATACCAGCTTATTTCATTTGTCCATTTTCTAAGCTTCAGCTTAAAAAAAAAAAAACTGTTGGGAGAATTCTTTATATATTCGAAAGAGTAGTGCCACTCAAATAAGTGATTTTGAAATAGTTTCTTCCAGTCTTTAATTTGCCTTTTCAGGCTCTTAACAGGGTCTTTTGAGAGCAAAAAAAGTTTTAAATTTTGATGAAGTCCAGTTTTATTAGTGTTTCCTTTTATGAAACTTGCTTTTGATAGTAAGGTGAAGACTTCTTCCTCAGCCTAATTCTTGAAGATTTTCTCTCATTTTTTTTCCTAAATGTACTATAATTTTTACATTTTCTGTTTATGTCTATGATTTCTTTTGAGTTAATATTTGTATAATATGTGAGGCTGAGGGCCAGGGATTTAGCTCAGTGGTTCTGCTGCCTGCCTCACAAGCGCAAGGACCCAAGTTCAATCCCTGTTACCAAAAACAAGAAACAACAACCTGTGAGGCTGAGGTTAGGGTTAATGTTTTTTTGGCCTGAGAATGTTCAATTATGTTAGCATTACAGCCCAATTGCCCATCAACAAGAGACTGGATAAAGAAAATGTGTTTTTTTTATAAAATGGAGTACTACTCAGCCATAAAGAATGAGAAACTAGAGTCATTTATAAGTAAATGGATGCACATAGAGGTGATACTCTTCAGTGAAATTAATAGGATGCATATGCGTAAATACCGAGTAGTTTATCATATAGTGTGAGAAACTGAAAGTGTAAATAAGGAGTAAAAGGTATAATAGATAATGTGAAATAGGAAGAAAAGGTGCAAAGGGGAAGGAAAAATGGAAGGGGATGGGAAAAGAAAGATTGGAATGGAATTAACATGAGAAAAAGAAAAATGGAAAGAAAGTCTTTGTAGATAGGGAGGGGTGGAAAGATTGAGGGCAGGGAAATGGGAAAAAAATAAGAACTGAGATGGATTATGTAAAGGTGCAATTTTCCAATGATGAATGTCATTATATTATATACCTTAAGTGTACCAATAAAATAAATTAATTAAAAAAAAAAAGAAAAGGCTATCCTTCCTTTATTAAATTGGTTTTTTATTTTTCTCAGAATTCTGTTGGGTTATTTGTATAGTCCTCTTCTGGGCTCTGTATTCATTCCATTGATCTGTGTTTACAAGAACCACACTGTCTTGATTATTGTTGTGTATATAGCTGTGTATAAAATAAGCTTTAATATTAGGAGAGTTGAGCCTGGGATTTAGCTCAGTGGCACTGTACCTGCCTCACAAATGCAGGGTCCTGAGTTTGATCCCTGGTACCAAAATAAATAAATAAATAAATAAATAAATAAATAAATAGAGTAATTCCTCCCACTTTATTTTTCTGTATCAAGATTGTGTTATCTATTCATTCCTGGGCTTTTCTGTATACCTTTTATAATAACTTTGTTTAATTCACAGAAAAAATCTTTTTGGGTTTATGACTAGAATTGCATTAAATCAGTAGATCAATTTGGGGATAATTGACATCTCTACTGTGTTGAGTCTTTCAATCTGTAAACACACTTCTCTTTGCTCTTATTTAGATCTTTGATTTCTTTCATTAGCATTTAGAACTAGGGATTTTGTATATGTTTTGCAAATGGTATTGTGCTTTTAACTTGGGTTTCTGCATGTTCATTGTTAAAATGTAGAAGTGCAGTTGCTTTTTGTGTGTCGATTTTTCTTTTTTGGTACCAGGG